AGATGACATGACTAAGGTAGTCAATGCTCTGTATTGCAAACTTCACTTAATTTTCTTGGCAAACAACTAGTGTTAGCGTAATAATTGTAATACCACTCGTAAATGCTCCAAGTGATCTTCTATTGACTTACTGTAGATTAAAATATTGTAAAAAAAAAAAAAAACTAAGATATGAACTTTCTCAAGTGGTCCCAAAAAATGTCATTCATGAGTGCCTGGAATGAGGAGGGTGCATTGCTTAATCCGAAGGGCATCACAGGATACTCGTAATGTCCTTCATTAGTGTGAAAAGACAGTTTTGTATTCATCTCCTTCCCGAATTCGGATCTGATGATACCCAAATCTGAGGTCTATTTTGGAGAAGATAATTGCACCATAGAACTCATCTAGCAACTCATCCACCATGGGAATAGGGAACCTATCCTTGATCACTACTTTGTTCAGGGCTCGATAGTCTACACAAAGTCTCCATCCACCATCTTTTTTTTACTAGGAGAACGAGGGCCGAAAATGGGTTATTGTTGGGCCTTATTACCCCTTCCTATAGCATTCCCCTAATGATCTTTTCGACCTCTCCCTTTTGGTATTGGGAATATCTGTAAGGTTGTACATTAATGGGGTTGTTTCCTTCTATAAGGGTAATGGCATAGTCGCAATTTCTTTTTGGAGGTACCTTTGGGCTCAAACACCCAATTAACACTACTTGAAAGTACTTTTATGAAAGCACTTTTGCGAAAGTATTTTTACGAAAGCACTTTTATAAAAGTACTTTTATGGAAGCACTTTTACAAAGTATTTTTATGAAAACACTTTTAAGAAAGTATTTTTATAAAAGTGTTTTTATAAAAATGCTTTCATAAAAGTGCTTTTATAAAATGTTTTCATAAAAGTACTTTCTTAAAAGTGCTTTCAATGGGTATATTTTGAAAATTTGAAAGAAAATGAAGAACAAAATTGTCACAAATGCTTATTTAAGTGCTTATTAGAGAAAAATACTACCAAACATCCAATACAAAATAAGTGTTTATTTAAAAAAAAAAAAAGCACTTGAAAAAGTTGAACGCCAAATACAAATAAGTATTTATTTGAATTTAACTTAAACACTCCCAAACATGGCCTAAGTACACATATTAGGACAGTGTTTTTCAGTATTCTTAAATAAAGAGAGAGGTGAGAGGGAGAGAGCATTGGCTTCAACAAGTGGATTGATAAGTTGTTTACCCATCCTGAATGATATGAATACACTCTATACAGGGACAATTCAATGTAGGCATTGCAATCAATTTACTGGTTGACCGACTTACCCGCACTAAATACCAGCAAATGAACAGCGCCTACAAGGTAAATAAGGTCATTCTTTGGAATAGCCATGAGATAAGAGGTATTCATGTAGATTCCTTTTTCTTTTTTGAGGGAATCAATGCACCCTAGCTGCTAAAGTTTCAAACTACTCTTTTGGGCTTAATTGGGCCCGTTTCCTACTTTGGTTGGGCGTGGGCTTGATTAGCCCAATACATTAACTCCTGCCTAAAGAAGAAACCGGATTCAGTCAGTGGAAGGTCCACTCCAACAATCTTTATAGCTTTGTATTGGAAATATCTCCTCATGAAATAAAATACAGAAGATTCCCAATGCAAGGCTGTAAAAGATGTTAGAACGGTATTTGAACGGGTGTTGCACTGACTGAAGCCGATCTCCCAAAAGAAACAGAAAGAGATCTAGAGAGAGGTCTGGATATGCTACCAATATTGCTTCCAACATGATTTGTATTCACACATCTCAACACCAATGTAAGTATCACTCCATCAATGTCAACATACAAATACAAAACATGTTTGAGATGTGCATTGCCTTAGATCACATTGGAAGCTGTGTTGGTAGTGTCTTGTTGGTAATGGACATGGGCTGGAGTGAGAGAGCAGCATATAATCGGGTCTTATTGGGTTAGATACAATAGTTCTGATTATTGGCCCCATGGGTGTCTAGTTTGGAACTGGTTCTACACAATAACAAGGGGTTACACAACGGGAGTAGCCCATAAACACTCCCAATTCAGATGCAGACGGGATTCGATTCCAAGTCTCCACTATAATCAACAGAAGACCTTACCAACCAGCCAGTTGACACTTTACATCCTATGAAGTGCTGTCATGCAAGATCCAAATTCTTATCTTCTGAAACTCTCCAAACTAGTCATGTTTACAGTTTCCTTATCCATAACAGCTCCGTATATCATCATGCATTCTCTCAAGCTAATGCCTCTTGAATATTACTAAATCAAGCACAAATTCTTCCATTAGGCTTTGTTTGTTTGCAGTGCAAATCTAAACCAAATGCAAATTTTGCATTTATTTCTTTATAATTATAATTTGCACTCCTATCTGATCTAAAATTTGTACTATGTCTCATTTGCACTCATTGGCAGTGCAGTTGTGCACCTTCCTCAGTGGAGAATGCATCATATTGGTTTTTACCTCACTCTGAAACACATAACCCTCCTCTTACCTCCCTTCTCTGAAACACATAAATTTACTTCTCACGAATAAACAGGATAAAGTAAGGGCAAAATATAATGCAACTACTGCACCATGCAGCGAAAGACGTGAACCAATATAAAAGGATACATCACACCTAACATCTTTAACATTGTTTGTGCGGACATATGCACAAATAGAGTCCATCTTTGTGCGGACATCACACCCAAAAAGTCTATTTTGGGAAGTTTCAAATAGAGTCTTTTCGTCTTTTTCAACTCATCTTTATGCGGACATGTGCACTTTGTTAGAGCTTCTAGAAGATCTTTCAAAAAAAGTTTGCCAAACGGCTCCGTATTTTTTATTTGTTTGAATGATGCAAGGGGCCGAGTGACCCCATCTTCTCTAATTCCTCCTTTTTAACAAAAAAAAAAAAAAAAACCGATTTGCTTGCAACCCTACAAATACAATCTGATTAACAGTTTAACACCGTCACATAGAGTGGATTATGTGATTTCGATTCAGTAAAGAGCATCTTACATGCGTAGGGTGCTTGGCTCCTTGCATAACGTCAGATTAGAATCTCCATTAGGCATCAATCCACTGTCTGAATGAAGCAAACCATAGGGGATTGAGAATACTCGAGTTCGTCTCTTTTTGTTTTTTGATGGTGAGTGTGGGCCAAAATCAAAGCTGTTTTTAATGTGTAGATACGAGACGCTGAGGCCTGTGGGCCGCAAATAGATGGGTTGGGTTCAAGTAGAAGCTTAACCCATGGACTAAAAGATCCAATTATGTCTGCCGAACCCATTTAACAAAAGATCCAATCAAATTCCAACGGCTTCAGCGGGTCAGTTTAGTCATTGCACCCTCTGCGGGTGTTTTATTGCTGTGAAACATAAATACACCCATGACCATCCATACACCATGTAAAATGACTAGAATGTCCTCTTGTTGATGCTATCATTCTTCCGTTGGCATACTCCCTCTAGCAAGGCACTCTTCCAACTTGCTAAGAGTTTTTATTAAGGGTCATTTATTAAAACACCTCTCAAGTTTTATGGATTACTAAAATATATTATAGTTTGCATTTTATTAAAACATCTTTATAGTTTTGCAGTTGATTTACTTAATCAATCTTCCATTAGATGATAGTAGGGGGTGGATTCACATTGAACAGAGTTGAATATCTAGCTATTTGAGTTCGACTTGTCAAAACAATGTTAGGCCTGAGCTCGAGCTCGAGCTCAGTTCTAGTTAGAGACTTGAACTTGAATTTGGCTTGGCTTAAAAATACGCAAGTTCGAGTTCGACTATGAGCCAAGCTTCCCATAAAAAATAAAAATTAAACATATAAAAATTATTTTTTGTCATACATATGAAAAATAAAAATATTATATATAATATTTATTATTATACATATAAAAATAAAAAATATATATAAAAATTATTTTTATTTTACATACAAAAAAATAAGACTTGTAAAAATTATTTATTATTATACATAAAAATAAGAATATTATTGTACATATAATAGGCTCAATTAGTCTCACAAGCCTAACGAGCCAAGTTTCATTGAGCTCGAGCTCGGCTTGAAGCTTGATTTACTTTTCACCCCTAGATGATAGTGGAAAATGATAGTTTGATCCTAATGTCCATTTGAATAAATTTAATCAAAAGAAAATAAAAATGAAAATATCATTTTTACCTCTAATAAGACACAATCAACCACTCTATTTTCTCTATTTAGTTCATTTTGTTTTATGTACAAATAAGTGTTAGGGGTATTTTTGGAATAAAAAATCATGGACTCATGCTCTTAAATATTTTCCACTTAATTTAAGTGATCATGTCACTGTTTTTAGATGGAAAAACAAAAACTTCTTAACGAAAGATCGATTAAGTAAATAAATTGCAACTACATGGGTGTTTTAGAAAAATAAAAACTAAAAGTAGGTTATCTATAAAAAAAACTATAAAATAAATTTAAATAAATACGTGAAACTACAGGATGTGTTTTAATAAATGATCCTTCTATTAAATTTTAGATTCATAAATCAAAATAAAATAGAAAAAAAAAAAAGAAAAACCCACTAGTTCGATGGCTCGACCATTCGGTCCAACTAAAGCTTAATCAACACACATCGTTGATCCTTGAGGCGTAAGGGCCTCATCGCCTCTTTTTGAATTTTTCTCTCTCTCTCTCTCTAGTCTCTGCCTCGGTATCTCCTTCTCTTGATGGAAAGATAAAAGAGAGAGAGAGAGCGCACCGCGCACTCCCCCTCAGACCCATCGCGGCTATCCCATCATCCCAATCCCATCCCCCTAGTCCCTACCTATCCCATCGCTTTTTGGTATTTCCGGTTATCTCCACCCTGGCACCCTCCGTACTTCTCGCTCAACGTTAAAATCCAACCTACCCCGGTAGCCGGTCATCCTAAAGCAGGGCCTCTGCTTGTGCGTGCGTGCTGTGCGTGTGGTGGTGCAACAAATAAAAGTAAGAGAGAGAAAGACAGCATTGGAGAGAGAAACTCCTGCTGCTATTGCTTTCTACTATCTACTGGGGGATTTGCACCTCTCTCTCCCTTTGCCGAAATCCCAACTGCAAAATCTTCTCCCTCCGCCGGTCTGTCCTCTTTTCTCCTCGTCCACTCCAAACCAATTCGTCCGATCGTCTGAATCGATGAGGATCAGAAAGCGATCTGTGCCGCTGCCTTTCACTTCCCTATGCCCCGTCAGTCTACCAGATCCCCAAGTCCCCATGCTACCACTACCAGCAGAGGCACAACGGGAGCAAAACGCACAGGCACGACGAGATGCTGCAGCCATGGAGGGAGAGAGAGAAACAATGGGGTTGCACCCAAATGAAGATCGCTCCCTAGAAGCAGAGAACGTCCATCTGAATCGGCCTCCAAGTTCCCCCAATCAAACCCTGTCGGAGGTGGTGGGGGTGAAGGAGGAAGAGAATCGACCCCGCTCAGAGTTGCAACTGGTAATGAAAAGGAGAAGGGGTGGTTGGATTTGCTCCGATGCCGCCGATAGACACCACCAGCAAACCAAGAAAGAATATTGCATGCGCCCCATTAATGGAACCCCGGTCAACGAGGTAAAGGGCTGTGGAACTGTTGCCTCCTCCTCCTCCTCCTCCTTTGTTTTCTTTTCCCTTCTCTAATGATTTTTCCGGAGCTGCACCATTTTGTTTCTCTTGATTTTAATCCATGCTTATTCGGCTCAAATCGGTGGCTTTCCCCTCTTTCTCTCTCTTTCTCGCCACTGGTGCAACTTCCTAGTTATGGGGTTCCTTGATTTTATGTTTCTCAAGTCTCAGCGGGTTCTGTGCAGGAAATCGATCTTCAAAGAGAAGAGAAGAAAGATGGAAGAAGTTGGAGCTCTGAGATTAACACTATCAGGTAAAAATACTTCACCTGTTTCCTCTCGTTTTTCTCAGCAAATCTCACATTTCCATGGTTAAAAAAAACAAAGGAAAGTACAGTCAGGAGAACCAGGAGTTTTAATTTACCACAACCCAGATATATTAAAGTGAAATGAATACACTGTTCACGCCTCCTCCCATTACCCAGCCGTCTCTCTCTCCCTCCCTCTCTCATCTTAGAAAGGGAAACGGGCCTTTCATTGGAATAATCTTTGCTCTTATGTGCACTCATTTGATGTTGCTTTCTGATTATCCGTCTGTTTATGGGGTTGTGGATCTTCGCTCACTTGATTAATCTTTAGAAAGGGAAGTAGTTTGGGTTCAGAAGCCGGTGATGGAATTTCGCTGCTTCCATCTTCCTCCGATCAAGGTAAGGATCTAGCTAGAGCTACTCATGAAAGAAACACCAGAATACTTCTTCAGGAGTTAGCACATTACGACTGTTGTTTTTTGTTGCACCGTAGAGGTTGGGAGATGGTGTGAGGGAGAGAAAGCGTTTCCACTGAAGAAGAGAAGAGGGAGACTCGGGCGAACAGCAGGCGGCGGAACGATAATGGAGAACGAGAATAAGATGAAGGCTACTAACCTGAAAACCAAGACGAACAAGAAATGGGTTAAGCTAGAAGACGAAGATGATGAAGAAGAAGCAGAAGATCAAGAAGAACAAGAACAAGGAACAATACCGAAGCAGCAAGGAGTCAATGGTAATAACAATACTAACGTGAAGAAGAGAGGGAGTGGTGGTGGGGTGATCATGGAGGGCTCGAGGTGCAGTCGTGTTAATGGGAGGGGATGGCGTTGCTGCCAACAAACACTCGTCGGTTACTCTTTGTGCGAGCACCACTTGGGTAAAGGAAGACTTAGAAGCATGAGCAGCGTCCGCGGCCGTGCCTCCGCCGGTGCTAAGAAAGGACGACCATCGTCATCGTCGGCAGAGAAACAATCGGATGAAACCTTGCCAGGTGATGGGGAGGTCGAAGATTATGAAAAGCCATTGATGATCACAAAGAAAAGAAAGAAGATCGGTGTGGTTAAAGCTCGATCCATAAGCAGCTTGCTTGGCCAAACACAAAACTGAACAATTCATGGTTTTGAAGCTAATGCATAAGTAAATACTTGATCTAGTATCTCTGTACTATTCTGTTTTCCTTCTCTTTCTGTCCAATGCATTTCGTTTTCTCTTTTCTTTCTGGGTGTGAAGAAGGAGAAAGAGAGATCTTTTTTTCAAATTTGTTAAGACGATTAAGGTTAGATCAGATGAGGAGATAGACAATGTTTAGTTTAATCCAGTCACCGATTAATAGATGGTTGGTTAGACTGATGGGTTTTCAAGGATTCAACCGATCAAGGGAAACTCAAATTGGATACAATTAATTGTTTGTATGGATAAGAATATTTGTTGACCTTGTGTGTGTATGGCAGTGGTGTAGGCAGAGCCCATGCTATCAACAAAGATGGTGGTGGTGGTCCTGGGGGTGGGGATTGATGTGGGCATAGTTTTTTTCATGAATTTCGACAAAAAGATGGTGTGCATAATAAAGTTGTGATCAGATGTTGCTATTGCAACCTTAATGGTGCATGTGGTTGTTGCATTACATCCCAATCAAGATGTCTGATGCCCTTCTGCATCCTGATCATTGTTTCATATGTGGTCAGAATTTTTGGTTTCAGACACAGTTAAGCAACTGACATTTGAATGTGTTGGACCACAAGGTAATTACGGGCGCTCACTGTTCATGGGCCAGCCGGTGGGAGCTCTCCGTCCAGTCTACGGTTCGGTTTGTTTGTTGAAGATAGGCCCATCGCCTATTGCTTTGTCAAGCCCAAGGAGGCCTTCATAGTTCATACTATGGCCTGGACCAATTTTAGCTCCTTTTTCTTGGGATTCTTCACCTTAGTCCCTCTGAGCTATTCTCATTTGCTTTGTTCAGCAAAATTATTTGGAATGGAATTCATATGGATTTTAGGGTCTGTTTGGTTCACAGTTGGAACGGATTCTCATTCCCATGCCATCCCACCCAACCAAACAGTGGGAATGGAATGGATATGGACCCTATCGCGCCCTTAGATATGGTTTTATTAACTTATGCAAGCAACCATGGCCAAAGAATGTATGTATCTTCAGGCCTAGAGTGCAGGGCCTACAGGCTAGGCTAGGCTAGACTGGCCCAGGCAGCTCTATGATCATCTCTACATATAATCCAATCAATAAATTAAACTAAAATTTAACCTGTGACTCTTTAGGCACTGTTTGGTTGCAGTGCGGACTGAGTGTAAATTCTGGTTTCATCTCTCTTTTGGATTTAATCTTGTTTTGTTTGTTTGCAAGAAGTAAAATGGTGCAGCTCCTATTTATATGAAAGAGAAATGAGACAAGAGGAAGGTAATTTATTTGGGAGACTACAATAAGAAGTTAATTGACTTAGTTTTGCATCAAGTAAGAGTGCAAATCATGGTCACAAACAAACAGATACAAAACTGAACTGGGTGCAAAATCTGTTTTCTGTTCAGATTCGCATTGTAGACAAATGCAGCCTTCATATATAGGTGTCATTCAAACTAATTTTACTAATAAATATAATACTTGAAGAGCCTCTCATGATGCACGGGCTGTTGTTGAAAAGATGCCCATGTTAAATTCAATTTCTTAACTGAATTAGTTGTAAGTGAGCTTAATTAAATAGTCCCATATGCAATTTTCTTTTTATTTTTAAAAAATTAAAAAAAAAACAAAATTCTAAAAGGATTTGCAAGAAATATGAGGAGTCTAACTCAGATAATTGCATTTTAGAATATAGTATATGTTTTGATCCAAAAAATGGATCTTTAGTCTTGACAACCCTTGAACTTTGTAAAAAGGCCGCTATAAAACTTAAGGCTCAGTTTGGAAGGAGTAAAAATACAAACATGTAGAGTGAAAAACCTTACAGTTTGTATTATTTTGTATGTATTTATAATGTACATATTTGTATTTGTACTCCTTACAAACTAAGCCTAAAGATTGAAAAGCGTCATTTTCACCCTCAAACTATGATGGAAAGGTCATGTTAAACCCAAAAGGGACAACATTAGAGATATTGTCAACAATTCCATTTGATAATAAATAAAATAATAAAACATGCTAATGCAGCACAACTCAAGTCAAACAAATTTAGGAAATTATAGGTCACTTTAGATGTTAAAAATTCTATTAGTTAGAAAAAAATATTAATTTTATCATGACTATAACGATTACTTATCTTATCAATTTAACAAAAAAGTCTCTTATCAAATTAGAGTCATTAAATTGACAATAATTAATTTAACATTAAATAATTAAGAATAAAATTAACAATAATGATAAATGGGTTTATGATGGCATAGCATGGTAACAATAAATAGTTAAAGTCATTAAATTAATAATAATTAAGAGTAAATTATCACTTAAACACTAAATTAGCTTAACTAATAATAATTTAACTATCACTTAATTTATTTAATTAATTTAGTTAACTTAGCAACTCAATTTTCTTAATTAAACTAATTTACTTAATTTTTTAATTATTTTATATACTTAGCTTAATTTATTTAACTAATAGTAACTTAGTTTAACTTAGTTTCCTTAATTAATTTAATTTACTTTATTAAAGTGGCCTTTTTTCAAACTTTAGGGTCTAAATGGCTTATATTTTCCCAAATTTTTTTACTTGATTGGTGTCATATAAGCATGCTTTATTATTTAATTTGTTGTCTAAAGAAATCGTCAACGACATCTCTAACATTGTCCTATTCTGGCTTAACATAACCTTTCCATCATAGTTTGAGGGTGAAAATGGCTAGTTTTCAATCTTTAGGGTCTAAAATGGCTTTTTACAAAGTTCAAGCATGCATGCATTTCAATATTCTTGGATTGGAGAGGGTAAATCCATATTCAATTTATAAATAGGTTGAATCCGGATTGGATTGAACTCAAACTTGATAAATGAATACTGATTGTAGCCCTATTTACATTTTAAAGGAAGGAAAAATGTTAATTACTGAATTCTATTGCTCTTAAAATTTACTGAATTTAGTTATCACAAGCTAAAGACATTAAAAAATCCTTAGGGCCAAATTGGGGTTACCTTAATGCTCTTAACAAGTATCAGAAAGTATCATGAACATCCAACATCTCCCCCCTCCATCTTTTCTTAAAGTTGCTAAGAACACATCCCTTGTGCATTTTGAAATGACTGGGGCTGCTGATATTGACAGGCTCCCTTGGCCTGCTGTCAGCTGTCTTTAGTAATGCTAGCATCCCTTGCCCTAGCTAACAGTCAACTTCTTGTTTGAAACAATTACCAATAAATAAAATAAATTCAAAACTAACTATTAAAAATTAAGTGATGATTTCAAGATAGGAAATTAATACCAAAAAAAACAAAAATCTTCTACCCAAAATTTCTTTCATTGATTGTTAAACACCTCAGAACTTTGAAACTACCAAACCAACTGAATTGGTTTACTAGGTTGAAAGTTGAAACCGATGTGGGTCGACAATATTGTAGTGCAACCATGATTCACAGAAGACCTAAAAGCATCTCATTGTATGAAAAATCTTGGAATCTCCAGATTTACAGAGATTTCAAATTCTAATATCTAACCCAGAAAACCCCCCCTCCGCTCTCCAGAAGAGAAGTTTATGTAACCCCAACTGCAGGTCTGCAGCTCAAGCTCAAAATAAATTATCTATTGCCCATTCAAAGCAAAACAAAGTGACTGCAACCGCCTAGGCTTTCTACAAAAAGTTCAACCAACCAGTAAAATCATAAATATGACATTCTGTCAAACAAAAGTAGGTGATAATTTATGCTAAATGGTTAAACTGACTTACTGATTGGGAGATGTGTTAATTTGGCATTCAATTCTCAAGTACATGCATGTCAGCCTTTCATATATCACACAGCATCTCTTGGGTGATATTTGTGGAAATCAGAGGTTGCACTGCTCGACTTGGGTTTCTCTCTCAAGTACATTTCAATTTCATCCTCAGCTCTTTAACCCCCTCACCACCTTTTCAGCTCAAGTCATCTAGTAATTAATCCCCACTTGAATCTCTCTCTCTCTCATTAATTTCTTCTCCAACCCTACCTAAGTTTTTCTTGGGTTGAAATGCCTGCTGACACTTGTTCAAAGTCTTACTTCTATAAGTTTTGACAGCCACTGCTTGAAATGCTTGCATTCTGTTTCCACATTGTGAAGACATGCATACAACAATAACAGTGGAGAACTTTTTCCAAAAAGTTCTAAATCAATTCACAGATTCGACAGAGACCATTCAGCTCCTTCCTTGTCTCAAGGGAATGCTCTGTATAACCATTCTTGTTTCATCATCAAATCAGTTTTTGAAGACTTTAAAGGAAGAGTATGAAAGGGGAGAAAGAATAAGAAAAAATTCTTCTAGCAAACAGATTAACCACTCCTTTTCCATTTTGGATTCAAGTGCTCCAACAGATGAGAGTTGGCCTCCAAATCAAGTAGACCCATAATTGATATATAGAGAAGATCAAGAGGCTGGTTGTTGGCTTAATTTCCAAAATAAATAGAGTTCAGGAGAGTCGGATCTGCTTAAATTAATTATCTCACACTATAAAATAATTTCAAAAGCCTGGATTTTTACAGTAGAATCAATCGTCATGCGTGTCGACATCTCAACTTTTCATTGATAAAATAAAGGCTATGAGGACGAGAAGGAGGTTCAGGCAGTCACTACCCAACAAAGGATAGGCCTGCCCTACCCACTCTCCTACCCAAAGCCAAGGTAGACCTGGCTTGGCTTCACATGCCACCCTGACCACCCATTTTTATTTTTATGTTCCTGGGAGAATGAACAAACGAATCATAATTTGTATGGATGATGAGAATCCGATATCAATCCAAATATAAAACTGTAGCTGAACACTGAAAAAGTGGAAACTTCATTTTACTGGGTACAAAGTTCAGCAAATCAGATTGTATTTGGGTTTGGATTGGGAGTGGACCCAACTTACAATGTGCCTTTAACGAATAAGGGGTGTCAATTGGACCGCATTTGGTCCAACTCGATTCGGTCTAATATGAGTTCATTATAAATGGAATGGGTCCAATCAATGTCTGAACCATTCAATCTATTCAAATTGGTTTTAATTTATATTGGTTCCAACCTAAACCTGATCCATTGACACTTGTAATATAATTTTTCTATTGATGAACCGAATATTTATTCAATACAACCCAATCCAACATATATCTATTATAGATGGACCAGGTCCAATATAATCCAATAAATACTTTGGACCATTAAGTTTGGGCTACTCCAATTCAACATGTCTAATTAATTCATCCAATCCATTCAAATTGATTTTGATTTTGATTGAGTCCAACCCAAAACCAGTCCATTAAACCT